TTTTCTATCCCTGTGAAGTTGCTTGTATGACACCTCACAAAAGTAGAATCAGTGTTTGTCCTTCCGTGCCTGGCTTCCTCTCCTCAGCATCGTGCTTTCCAGATCCTTTCAAGTGAAACATGAAACACACATCTGAGTTCACACTTTGTGAGGACTGAAAACTGTTCCATCGTGATGACTTTAATCCCAGCGTGTGGAGGCAGAGGCAGGCCAATCTGTCAGATTTTTTTCTTTAAACATCTTTTTTACATCTGCTTTTTTAATTTGTGTGTGTGTGTGTGTGTGTGTAAGGGCACGGGGGAGCGTGTATGGAAGTGAGGACAACTCGTGGGAGTCTCTCCTTCCTCCATGAGTGTCATGGATCAAAGTTGGCCAGCTTGGCAGCAAGTGTGTTTATCCTCTGAGCCGTCCTGCTGGCCCCACAGCGCATGTTCTCTGTGCAGTCCTCTGCTGACAGACACCGGGGTTTCATGTTCTGGCAGCTGAGAACAATGCCGCTGGACCATGAGGCTATGCCAGAATTGAATTGCTGGAACCCACAGCAACTTGTGACTGATCTTTTGAGAAACTGCTAAACTGCTGTCCACAGAGGCTGCACTAGTTCATGTTCCCACCAATGATACACAAGGGTTCTGATCTCATCCCCAATCTCTGTCTCTCTCTCTCTCACACACACATATGGGTGGAAGGGTGCTGGGAATTGAACCCAAGGCCTTGTACACTCTAGGCAAGTGTTCTACCACTGAGCTACGTCCCCAGACCCCTTTCTCGCATTTGTCTCTTCATACATGTGTACATACATCGACAGACTTTCTCCAAATGTCCCCAAGTCTTTTCATACATGTGCATGTACAGGGACACAGACCCTTGTCTCAGGACTTTGCATCATTTCCACACTCCCTTGCTAAAGAAGTCTCTCACAGGGCTGGAGAGATGGTTAAGAGCGCTGGCTGTTCTTCTAGAAGACCTGAGTTCAATTCCCAGCAACGACAATCATGTGGCTCACAACCATCTGTAATGAGATCTGGTGCCCTCTTCTGGCCTGCAGGTGTACATGCAGGCAGGACACTATATAATACATCAAAAACAAACAAACAAAAACTAGAAAACAGAGGTGAGTCTGGAGCACAGCCGGGCACACTGACCTGGATCCAGGTCTCATACCCCGTGTCCTATATGCAAAATGCCTCAGAGCTGGCCGTTCAGTTGACTTTGCTGTTGGCTTAACCTTATTTAAAAAAAGGGGGGGGGGTCAGGAAATGAAATTGGAAGAGTTAAGAGATGCTGAGGGAGAGAGGCAGCTGATAAAAGGGGACAGGTGGGGACCCCCAATGTGGTCAGTCCACAAAGGAGAAATAAGCTGCCATAGAAACTCAGAAGAGCTTCACGTCTGCATGAGTGGGGTAATGTCCCCTAATCCTTGCCTTGGGACCAACTTAAAATTAAGTTTGAGGCCTGATTGTACCCTTGAGCCAGACCTCTAATTGACTTTTGAGGAAAAGGAGGGAGTTTGGAGGCCAAGGCCCAAACCTCCGCCTGACTGCATCTGGCGCCACCTCCTGTTAGCTGTGGGCTGTGGCCAGTGTTCAGAGGCGGCCTCCCTGCCCGCCTCCTCCTCCCGTGCCCCCCAGGCTTGTTTGAGAAGGTGGAGCCAGAGAGCCTGCCTTCTGGACCATGTCACACCTCTCCAGCAGTTGCTCTGATGCGAGAACCTGGCTGAGAGACTGTGGGGCCTTGTGGCGATGTGGGAATCTCTGCTTTGAGAACGTACCCATGGTGATTTCAGTCTGAGGAGCAGGACAAGAAGCGACTTTGTTGTGTCTGTGAGAGTATGTGTATGATGTACTTGTGCATGTGGAGATCAGGGGACCTTTGGTGTTCCCCAGCCACATTCTCACATTTATGTATTATCATCTATTGACTTTTTGAGATGGTCTCAAACTTTTCAAGCAGGCTAAGCTGGCTGGCCCGCACACTCTGAGGATCCACCTGTCCCTGCCTCTTGAGGGCTGAGATTGTAAGAACGTCACATCATGCCCAGTTGTTGCTTAAAAGTGAAGTCTGAGGATCAGATTCAGGTTTTGTTTCAGGCACTCTACTGACTGAACCATGGCTCCGGCCCAGGAGTGAATTTTTTCATGGTCTATATAAAACTGGGTGTCAGATACTCACCAGGGTCCAGTATATAACAGGCAAGCTCTCTGCCACTGACCTACAGCCTCAGCCCAGCTGTACTGATGTCTTTTATTTAACTTCATTAACTATCATTTCTCCCATGAAGTCCCCTGATCCTAGCATGATATCACACCCGCCATGCATGTGACCTACAGTGTCGGTCAGTAGCTGCACGGGGCTGGAGGCCTCCATTTTGGGCCCTGCAGCATAGGCACATTACATAGTGAGGGCTGGGTGGAGACACAGGTATGGTGGACTCTGGGACTCTGTGTTGTGGTCACAACACATTTCTTTCAAGTAGAAGCAGTCTCATGAAGGGAGTGAACTCTGCCTGGCAGAGTCCAGAGCCCATCGCCAGACTGTGCCCTGGGAAAGGTCTACAGGGGGCTCCTGGGTCCTAAACAGGTCCAGAAGTAACCTCCAGTCAACGGTCACACCCAACTGTAAAGGGTTCTGTGAATGGAGTCTGGCTGGGCAGCCATGACCCCCACAAGAGGGAAGGATAGATCTGGGGGTGGGTGGGAGACACACTTTGGTTGACAGAAGCTAAGAAGTCTCGATGAGTAAGTGACTTGGTGGATACTGGCCTCCTGGGGTGGGTGGGTGGCCCAGCTGACCTTGCTGGAACCCGGCTGCCCTGAAATAAGGACTCTGCAGGTGTGCATGGGTCTTCATGACAAGGATTCACCCTGGTCTTGTTTCTGCAGCCAGAGAATAACTTTGACTTCGTGAGCAAGGAGATGTTTGCGCACCTTACCAGGAAACTTCAGGCCAATGTGTTCCTGATCAAGTGAGTCTAGACTGAGTGCCCTTGACAGACCCGGGGAGCAGGACCCTCTGAGGGAGCCTGGCACAAGGCGTCCAGTTCTCCACTGTGACACACTACTTCCACTTAGCCTTTCTCGGGAAGCATCCTTGTCAGCAGGTGCTGGGAGCGGGGGAGACAAAGCAAACGGTGGCCTGGGATCGGGGCAGGGGTGAGGACTGTCGCACAGACTGGCAGGTCTCCGGGGAAGCCTGACGTGGCTGGACTTAAGACTCCACTTCCACATCAGAGAAATGGCACAGGCAATCTTGGGAGCTTGTCAAGTCCTACTCTGTTAGGAACGATTGCCCTATTGGAGTGCACAGCTTCAGGAAGGATGCACTTGGGGTGATTCTCAAGGGGCACACTCCTCTTCAGATCAGCCAAATTAACCCTGATGACCAATGGGGTGACAGACGTCACAGGATTGTCTTCACATTCAGGAATTTTGAATTAGGAACTTTCCTGGGCTAGCCACACACAGTTGGTCTAGCCTGATCCTTTCCTTGATGCTTGGTGGTGGTGGAAACAGCAGGGAAATCAGAGCGAAGTTTGATGCCATGGCGTGGGCTGTTGCTAGGAGGTTTGGAGGCTTAATTAATTTTTTTTTGAGTTAAATTTTCAACTCATTATGAAGTTGGGGAAATGTTAACACCGTTATAAATTAAGGCAAAGCTGAACTTAAAAACAAGGGACTGGCTGGGCACGGTGGCTCACACCTGCAGTTCAGGACTGGGGAGAGCTCAGCAGGGCTGTGGCAAGTCTGAGGCCAGCCTAGGCTACAGTGTGCTTCACAGGCGGGAGTGGGGGTGTGGGGGGTGATGGTTGTGTGATATGCACGTTAGACGTCAGTAGGTTTTATTTTAAAGAAAAGCCTGGCCTTGAGAGCCGGTTCAGATCTCAGCCCAGCTTTCAGTGGCCCCCACTTTCCCCGGCAGGCATTCAGCTTCTGTTAGCCTGTTACCCACTCTAAGGGAAAGCTGGTACTGAATGACTGACCCTCAGGATCAGCAGAGGCTCAAAGGGACACAGGAAAAAGGAAAATGGGAGTCAGCCAGGCTTGGGCTCTTCAGGTCCTGAAACCCAGACAGGGCAGAAGGCTCTGTTAAGATTCACCCCAACTTCTTGCTGCCCAGAGCAACGGAGGGGTACTACGATGTGAGACGAGCCAACGATGAGAAGAAGGAGCCCCTGCTCTTCATGGTGGACACGCTAAGCACCATCCTAAAAGAGGTAACGCGTGTGGCCCGGGAGGCTGACAGGTTGGACACGTCTTCTCCTCTGAACCCACATCATAGTCAGTCGCTTTGGATCCCCCCAAAAGTGCCTCACCCCTCCATAGCCAGTCCCCACAAAACCTCGGACACACAGTTCAGGAAGGAGACAGCTTTGGTTGGCAGGCTCTCCCGTTTTACTGTTTTCCCCTGACCCCTGGCCAGGCTTGTGGGGCACACCTCTTAAAAGCAGCCTCACACTCGCCTCCACTGCTCCCGGAACCAGCAGACTGGCAAGTGTGATGGCTCCAGGGCAGGGGGAGGCCTGGAACCTCTGCACACAGCCCGCTGCACCAGGACCGGCAGCGGCCCTGCCTGTAACTGCCCCAGTTCAGCACTGGAGTCACACAGCTCAGAGGCCTACATCCCTGGGACAGCTTCCAAGTCCCCAGGCTGCTGTGGAGAGAGGCTGCCCCTCACCCACTTGGAAGCAGTCAGCTATGAGAATGTCTCCCGAGTGGGCAACATCTCACCAGCTGCCCCTTTCTCCAGCGGTTCCAGTTTGTGGAAATCCCAGGCAATCACTACATCCACATGAACAAGCCCCACCTTGTGGCTAGAGCCATCAGCTCCTTCCTACAGAGCCAACCCAGGATCTCATCGTCGCTGTAGCTCTGGTCTTGGATCCTGTTCACACTTTCTAACACCCCCATCCCACAAAATAGGGGGGGTGGGGCTCACTGGGCTGGAAGACCAAGGGAGGCAGCGGAGAATCCCATGGTAGAGCTGTGGCAGGCAAGGAAAAACAAGGTTCTGGCCTTTAGTAGCTGACTTTAAGAAAGGGACAGGTGCCCTGGGGCTTGTGTTTGGTAAGCTACAGTGAGCTGGTGCGCGGAGGAAGCAGGGCCTGGGTTGGGTCTCTGGAGCCTGTTCTGGCTGCCAGCCTGTGTGGAAATAAATCTGTCTTCACTGCATTCCAATGGCTCTGTTGCCTGCAGGGGCTTCATGGAGGGCAACGGAGTCAGAACAGATAGTCAGTCAGGTTTCCCAGGAACATCTTTACAGGCACGAGGAGGCAGGGTCAGCTCTCTGGAGGCCAAATGCTGCTGCTGCCCTGCACGTCCAGCCTGTGCGGGTGTAGAGATGGAGCTGTGGACAGACACAGCAGCGGCTTCTTGGCCTGGGATCTGCTTCCTAAAGCACCGTCCCCGAGGGAGGGAGCAGGCCTGCTCTCCAGCGGCCACAACAGCTCAGTAGGGCCGGAATTTGCGTTGGGCACGCATCAGTTCAATCCTCTGCTTGTCCTCCTCAAACTTCTTACGTAGCTGTGCCAGGTCTGGGGGTGTGAAGGACACAGGACGGGTCACACAGAGCACCTGTACAGGAACTGCCAGCTACCCTACTAAAGAGACCCCTCACCCTCATGTCCCAGGGAGGCTCAGTACACTCCCCTCCCTCCCCATGCCCCCTCTATTCCTGCTGTGCTCTGGGTCAAGGTCAGGATCCTGTAAGAAAACAGAACTGGACACTAACTACAGCCACGCAGGAGGGCTAGGCTGAGGTGGGAGGTGGCGGCATGGAGAAGAGAGGCCCGGAGGAGGCAGGCCTCCTAACCCTTCTGTTCCCTAAGAAGCAGCAGGTCCAGGGGCCCCTTTCCCTAGATGAGGCCTTGGAGTGGGGTGCTCCAGAATTCAGCAGGTAAATGGTCACCAAGTGACCCAAGTCGGAGGTGGCACCCGGAGCTCTAAGGAGGGGGGGTTGACAGGTGCTCAGGTGAAGGTACAGCTTGGGGTCTAGGAACAGGACAGGAGCATGTGAGGTGTGGAGAGACTGTGAGGCAGGGGCCAGTGCCAGCAAAGGTGGGATCTGAAGGTGGCTGTTGAGCCCACCCCATGCTCAGGAGAGGACCGGGCCTTCTCAGTCCCACAGAAGTGTCCTGTGAGCAGGATCCTATTGACAGCAGCGAGAGCATGTACTCCCATATGGAACACTCAAGAGCCCCCCCCATGAACCCCCCCATGTCCCTCAGCACTCTGCAGTCGACGCCTTCTGGCTGGGGGCTGACAGGTCCCTGCCCCAGGTGCTCTGGGGACCTGGTGGTGAAGCCACATCCCAGGTGTTTCTGGGGAGCAGTAGCGGCACCAGCCTGTAGAGGATGTGCCTGAGGACGCCCTGCTCCCTGCCCCGGCCCGTGGGGTGCCCCCAGGTGCCCTTACGCTCCATCTTGGACTCTCGGTGCTGCCAGGCATAGAAGTTGAGCAGCTCCTTGCGGGCACGCTTCCTTTTCTCCTTCTCGAGAACGCGCAGGCTGGCCGCTTCTGTGCGAGGGAGCACAGGCCTGCGGCCCCGGCGCGTCACCTTCACCCAGCCCTCCTCATCGGGGACTCCTTCCTCCTCCTTGGCCTTAGTCTCCTCCTGCATGGAAGAGGCGGTGGATGGGCTGGGCTCTGCAGCAGCAGGATGCCCCGACTGGCCCGAGGCCCACACAGTGTCTGCTGGCCTGAATGGTCCCCGCAGTAAGTGTCAAAGAACAGACATATCAATGACACTTCCTTCACCTGCAGACCACTGAGAGTCCATGTCACCCAGCCAGGTGGCCCAGGTCTCAGCAAGCAAAAATGGGAGCCTACACTCCCCATGGTAACCGAGGACAGGCCGCCACCGCCATTCCCTCACAGGCACCACAGCACACATTCACTACTTGTGGTACCCACCTTCCCATGGCTCCACACGTGATACCCGGGGGCCCTACTGGAGGCCCTACCTCAGCTATCTTCTTGTCGTAGGCCTCCATGAATGTGTCTACTTCGATTCTCAGGGCCTCAGGGTCGAGCACTGAATCTTCATAATCACTGATCCACTCTGCGGGGGAAGGGAACATGGTGTATCATAAACCACACTGAGAAAGCATCATGCGCTGTCCGGGCTCGTGGAGAGTAGACTCGGGACCAGAGAGCTGGCTCAGCGGTTAAGAGTACTGTTGCTCTTGCAGAGGACCCAGGTTTGGTTCCAAGCTCCAACATGGTAGCTACAACCACCCATAACTCCAGTTCCAGAGATGCACCCTCTTCTGACTTCCTTGTATACGAAACACACGTGTGGTGTGTAAACACACAAAAGCAAATCTAAGAGAGCAGACTCTAGGGGGCCTGCCTTTGTCCCCTCCCAGCCTCTCCTGGGTCAGCCTGGCTCCCTGGCTCTGTAGCCGGGAGAGGGAAACCAGCAGCAAGCTGCCCACTGGAAACAGTTAGCAGGCAAACTGCTGCCAGCAGATGGCACTGTTTTTTTTTTTTTTTTATGCCAAGGCATAAAAGCCCGGCAGTGGGTCAGGGAGGGCAGGAGCTCCCTGATGAGGCAATCAACCTCCCCAGTCATCTGGGGCACTCCCCCATCTGATGCCGTTCCCTTGGCCTGCTCTCAGCCAGGCTACACCCAGCACTCCTGCTGGGTGCTGTGAGCACTGTTGATGAGGTTTTTGCTGTCTCTGCTGTTTGTGCTCTGCACTTTGCCGGCCATATACTCAATAAACTGTCATTCCAACCATCACTACGGCTCTCACAGAACCTTCTCCAGGCCGTACAGAATAGAGGCGACAGGCTCAGAGTGGAGAGTCAGCCTTTGCCAGACATGGCCGGCAGGCTGGATCCTCTAGCAGAGTCCAGGGACTTGGGATCGAGGTTCAGGTGCCAGGAAGGTTCTGGAGGCAACAGGCTGGGCCCTTACCTCCTTACCTGGTGCCAAAGGCTCAGGCTGTCTCCTGACGTGTCTCAGACACAGCCCCGCCAGCCCAGGCCCCTTGGGAAGAGGGGACACAGCTTGTGGTATTCACAGATGCTGCCCCCATCAAGTGTCCCTCACCGACCCAAGGCCCGAGGAGGAAGCACTGGCCACTGCCAGCGGTACTGACTATGAATTCCGCTCTTCACAGGGTGGCTCTCTGTAGAAAGCAGCAATGGGCCCTTAAGATTCAAGGCAGCTGACACTCCACTTGGCTTCTGGAACACCACATAAGCTACCTGAAAGCCCTGGGGGGAGAGAGGTGTCTGTGTGAGCCTTCCCACTTGTGGCACAAGGTCCCCATACCTGCCCCGGACCATGGGAGATGGTGCTTGGCTCTTTCATGTGTCATCTCACAGTCTGGGTGAGGGACAGCCATGCTCCTAGCTAGCCAACTGCTGCTGGGACACCCAGGCTAGGGTGGGTCATAAACAGACAAGGCACAAAGTCGGAGTAAGACTCCCTTGTACCGTAAGGACACATGAGGGACCTGGGGAGAGGAGCAGGGCTCCTGGAGCTAGGGCACCAGTCCTGAGGAGAAAGCCACTGAAGTAGGAAACGGGCTCTGGGAGACTGCAGGACAGAGAGGGAGGCAGGAAGTCAGAGAACGTGGCGGCACACCTGAGAGAATCAGAGGCCATCACCCCGCCAATCTAAGTCACACATTCCAGAGAGCACCCCAGGGCCACAAGGGATCTGTCTGAAGTCTACTGCCGAGCCCACCCACGTCCCATCACCTCCCTACCCCCAGTGGAACCTGGTGGTATCGGGCAGCCTACCTGAGCGGGCTTCTGGTGAAAATACTTCGACTTTGGCTCCTTGGGCCTCTCGGCAAGGTCAGGCTTCTCCTGCAACTCCACTGTCTTGATGGTGCCACAGGAAGACAGGAGTCGGGACAGGCACTCCTGCCACGGTCAGAGGGAAGCTGCATGAACACCCACAGGCTCCTCAGAGCCTCCAGACACCCACAATAGACCGGAAGGACTCGGAGCCCAGGTCTACACAACCCAGGGGGCCTAAGTGCCCAACCCTGACCAGCTCCCAAGACAACGCAGAGGCAGATATGCCTAGTTGTGATGGAAGTAAGGACTTTCAATGTCACTGACTTCGAGTGACAACTAATTAAGCTTTACCACCTAAGTCTGAGAGAATCAGCTCCGGTTGGGCTCAGGATGGTGGTAAGCTTTGGCAAGAAGAGTATGAGGGGACTTCTTAGGTGTGGTCAGCTTCTGACATGCAGCAACTGTCCAGCCCAGCCCTTCTCGCCAACCTGTTGTCCGGGTTGGCCTTGAACTTCTGATCCTCCAACCTCCAAATCTGATTTATGTGGTGCTGGGGATTGAACCCAGGGTTTCAGGAACTCCAGGCCAGCACACTAGCACTGAGCTGAATCCCTAGCTCTAGCATTTCTCTTCTCAAAAAAGTAATTCTTCCCACCTGGCATGGTGACACACACCCGAAATCCAGCACTCAGGGGGCAGGTGGATCAATTGAAAAGTTTTTTAAATTGCATTTGTCTGTGCGTTTGTGCACAAGTGTATGTGTGTATGTGGATTCCATGTTACATGTGTGGGGGTCAGAGGACAATCTGCCGGAATCAGTTTTCCCTTCCACCATATGGGTCCCAGAGCTCAAACTCAGGCTATGGGACACGGTGGCAAGTGCCTTTACCCACTGAACCATCCTGCCAGTCCTCAACCTCCTTTTTAGACTAAGTGTGGTGGCACATCCCTGTAATCTCAGAACTTCATAAGAGAATCAGGAGTTCAAGGCCAGCCTCACCTACATAATAAGTATGAGGCCAGCTCAGGCTACAAGAAATCCTGTCTGAAACAAAACAAAATAATGAAAAGTAAATGTAATAGTGTCTGCGAAAAATCAGTACGTATGTCTAGACAGAACTGCACCTAATTTTTGTTAGACTTTCTTTAAAACAAAAAAGAAAAAACTAACCAGTAAACAAACAAACAAAAAAAAAGTCGTTGGAAGGATAATTAATTTCGAAGCCAGCTGTGACCACTCGTTAACTGTAATGAGTCGAGGTAGTGGGGTGGTGCAGGAGCACAGCAAATCTGAGGCCAGCCCGGGTCGTCTAGTGAGTTCCAGAACCGCCTACGGCAGAGTGAGACCCTGTAGCCCATATTCTTTTTTTGTTTTGTTTTTCGAGACAGGGTTTCTCTGTGTAGCTTTGCCCCTTTTCCTGGAACTCACTTGGTAGCCCAGGCTGGCCTTGAACTCACAGAGATCCGCCTGGCTCTGCCTCCCGAGTGCTGGGATTAAAGGCGTGCGCCACCACTGCCCGGCCCCATATTCTTAAGAAATCTGAGAGCCCCAGTCTTTTCAACACCCTCCACTGTGGGTTTACTGGCAAATCCACCTGACCGCCAGAATTTTGTAGGGCCCATGGCAAGCCCCCCCCCCCCCAGAACCCCCTGGTCCTCTGCCAGCAGCTTACCTCTGTGCAGTACGGGGGCACATTGAGGATAAAAAGGGTCCTATTGGGGGGCCACGTGGACTGGGTGTCTTGGCGAACTCTGTGCTGTCTCACGTAGAGGTAATGAGAAGCCCGCTGCTTTTCCGAGAACTTGACTGGAATAGCTACGAGCAGGAGAGAGTTCGGGGTACCCCGAGTTGAGGCTCCTCTCTCTGTGTCCCTCTCGAGCTCCATCTGCCCGCCTGCTCGTCCACCCACCCGCCCACGGAGAGCTAGAGAGCACGTAGTCGGGTAATCACGGCCGGTGGGGACACGGAGCCAGCGGCTCGCTTCCCCGCTCTCGGGGTACTCGCTGCCTCACACCATCAGCCCCCATCGCACTGGCTGTTCTGCTTGGCACACCAACCCTCTCCCCTCCACCCATTCTTCAGGTTGGGGCTGTCGCGTCCCGACCCCGCATGCCGAGCTGGCCCCACCTTCCCAGGAAGTCTCCACGGGTGAGATGCGAATCTCCAGAAAGCCAGGGAAGCTTTTCCTTGGGGTGGGGATACAGCTGCGGCCACCACACTCAGGAAGCGCTTGTTGAAGAACCAGACAAGCGCAGGCCAGCGGGTGACAAACTCCAGTGGCGGACGCTGCACGCTCGGCGCGGCCTGGAGGAAGCGCTCCCGAGGCCCTCTGAGCAATGGCCGCGGAAGTCAGCAGCTACAGCCGGCGCGGCGGGCTCCTGCGCCCCGAGACCTGATGAGCTGCCGTGGCCTCCGCCACCCGCAGGCCACCTCCCTGAGAAGAGGTCAGTTCCCGGCCCTCAGCTGCTCACCTGAATAACCCGGTGGGCTCGGTATGCTCCCCTCGTGGCCGCACGCTCCAGGTTTCTTCTTGCGGGCCACCATCTTGAGGACCGGGAGCGCAGGGATGGATGGGAGCTGTAGTTCTCCTTTCCCGCGCGGCTGAGTTCCCATGACGACGGGACTACGTGGGGCCCCGCCTTCTCAACTCTAGGCCCGCCTCCCGGATCTTGTCCAGCCCTAAGATTTTCCCCTTCCTTGTCAAAAATGGGGATGGAGTGTGCGGGGTGAGATGGGGTGGAGAGGAGGCATGGGGGAGGCTGGAACGAAGGCTCGGAGGTTAAGAGCGCCTGTTGCTCTTCTAGAGAATCCGGGTTCGTTTCCGATCACTCACAATTGTCTGTAATCCCAGTTCCAGGGAGATCTGACGCCCTCTTCTGGCCTCTGTGGGCACAGTATACACGTGATGCAGACAAACATGGAGATAAAACACTCATAACACAAAAAATAAATCTTTAAAAATAAATAGTAGGCAGTTTGAATCGCGGTGCAACTGAGGAGCCACTGTGGGATTTTGAGTATAGAGATGCATGAACAGTCTCTCCTTGGTAGTTAATTCGACTGTAAGAGGACAAGGGGGTGAGCAGCCTGGGGCTGAGACTGTAAGCAAAGAGCCATCTTTGGAGCTGGTAAGGGCACCACCAAGCCTGACATCCTGATAAATCCATGGAAGGAGAGAACTGACTCCCGCCAGTTATCCTCGGACCTCTACAAGCACTCCATGGCATATGTCCTCTCCCACAAGATAAAACTTTAAAAAAAAAAGTGTGCATGTAACCCTGGCTGTCCTGAAGCTAGCAGACCGGGCTGGCTTCAAACTCAGAGATCTGTCTGTGTCTGCCTCCCGAGTGCTTGGGATTAAAGGTGTGCACCACCATGCCTGACTCTATAGAATTTAAATGTTTACAAATTGAAGTGAGTTCAAATAAACTTTCCCCAGCTGGGCATGGCTGTAATCCCAGCTGAAGCAGAGGATACCTGTGTGTTCCAGAACATCTGAGGATACAGTGAGACTGTGTCCCACTTTTTTGAGGCAGAGGTCTCACTTAGCCTTGGTGGGCCTGAACACTGATCCTCCTGCCTCCATTTCCCCAAGTGCTGGGATCAAATGTAATTGCTTCATGCTGCTAGACAAGCACCCTACCAGCTGAGCTTCATCTCAGCCCAGTTTCTACTGTTTAATCGCCAAATTCACTGCTGTTCCCACCCCCACTGCTTGTTATCTTAATTCTAAAGGGTTTTTCTTGGCTAAGACTTTCAAAATTTCATTCAAGTGTGTATTCATAATTATCCATTATAGTATTTTTATGATGGCTACTTTAAAGTCTTTATTAAAGTTGGGAGCTGTACTACATCTTAAATCCCCATTCTCAGGTTGGGAATGGAGGATCAGATTATATGTCCAAGGCCAGTCTTGGCTGGATAGTGACATTGTAAAATCTGTCAAAAAATAAACAGTAAGAAAATTATACCAGTACCACGCCGTTTTTATTACTGTAGCTCTATAGTAGAGCTTGAGGTCAGGGATGGTGATGCCTCCAGAGGTTGCTTTATTGTACAGGATTCTTTTAGCTATCCTGGGTCTTTTGTTTTTTCATAGGTAGTTGAGTATTTTTCTTTCCAAGTCTGTGAAGAATTGTGTTGGGATTTTGATGGGGATTGCATTGAATCTGTAGATTGCTTTTGGTAAGATTGCCATTTTTACTATGTTAATCCTACCTATCCATGAGCATGGGAGATCCTTCCATTTTCTGATATCTTCTTCAATTTCTTTCTTTAGAGATTTAAAGTTCTTATCAAAAAGGTCCTTCACTTGTTTAGTGTTATCCCAAGGTATATAAATAAGAAAAGTAAAAAGCCTTGTCAGTTTCATCACGCCTTCCATCCTGGGGTTGATGTCCATGGGAGATTTGCTGGTTCTCGTGAGTTATTTGTTAACTGAGACACAGACATTTTGGGTATTGGATAGACTTTGGATTTATTTAAACCTGCGTTTCTTTACAGCCAGTCGGCTGCCTTTCCTTGACTTTTTTTTTTTTTTTCAAACATTGATTCATCTACATTCAAGTTGAAAGCCTTGAGTCTCATTTTCCTCTACAAAATATTCAGGGCTGTTTAGGAGGAGGAGGGTAGGCTAAGTACTATTCTATTCTATCCCTATCAACGAGTAACTACTTTCCTGATGCCATAGCTCACCCAAACAGTGAAGTATTCCTTCAAGTTTAATTTCTTCAGAGCAAGACACCAGCTCCTTTGTTCCTTGTGGACAATGCCTAGGTCTGTCTATACTGGGATGAACAGGCCTTGCAGCTAGTGTGTGGGCTAGTTTGTCAACCTGCCACAAACTAGTTATCTAAAAGGAGGGAACCGCATCTTGGAAAATGTCTCCAGAAAATCCAACTGAATCCCAGCACTGGGGGGGAGGGGAGGCAAGGCAAGTGGATCTGAGTTTGAGGCCAGCCTGGTCTACAGCGTTCTAGGACAGCCAGGGCTACAGAGAAACCCTGTCTCTAAAAACCAGTAAATAAGTTTGCAGAGGGAGGGAGGAACGGGAAGGAAGGGAAGGAGGGGGAAGGGGGAGGGGAGGAAGGAAGGGGGGAGGGAGGGAGGAAGCGGAGGAAGAGAAAGGGAGAAGGAAGAAAGAAAAAAGAGAGAGGGAGGCAGGCAGGCTTACTTTCTGGTTAGGTTCCACAAGTCACTGTGGTTTAAATGAGAAATGCCCCCTAGGTTCAGTATTTGGTGCTGTCTGGGAAAGCTCAGGGACATTTTAGGGGACAGACATTTGGTAGAGGAAGTACACACTGGGTGCAGGCTTTGAGAGTTTGGTCTTGCAGTGGCCTCTTGTGTTTCCTGTGTGGCTAAATGTCATTGGTCAGCTGCCCGCTCTTCCCTTTCTTGCCAGAACAGACCATCCCTCTGAATCTGTAAGCCCAAAACCAACCCTTTCCTCCTAACTTTTGGGAGCGTGTTTTTCTCAACAGAAAACTGTGTAATACAGCAGGAGCGGGCTGTTGCTCTAATCAATCTGACCACATGCCATTTATGTCTTTGAGACTATTTTGTGAGAGTTTGGACTCTGGGCAGAAAAAACTGCTTAATATTAGAAGCAGAGCTTAATGGGCCATTCTGGTGGGAATTTGGAAGATAATACTCAAGAGAAATGTAGACAGCAGAGGCCTGGCTTGTGAGCTTTCTGAGGGGAATGAGGACTCTAACCAGAAACAGGGCTAGGGGCCATTAATGTGATACTTTGGCAAAGAATCTGCCTGCATTCTGTCCGTGTCCTGAGAATTTACCTGAAGCTGAATTTTCAAAAATAACAAATTTCTTTGGCAGAGAAAAAAAAAAAAATTTTTTTTTTTTCTTTCCCAAGAGAGGGTTTCTCTATGTAACAGCCCTACTGTCCTGGAACTCACTCTGTAGACCAGGCTGGCCTGAAACTCACAGCTCCACCTGCCTTGCCTCCCAAGTGCTGGGATTAAAGGCGTGCAGCACCACCGCCTGGTAGCAGAGAAGACTAAGACAGTGTAACACTGAGTCTATCTATGGTATGGTATCAATGGTTACTCTCAAGCAGGTCCACAGACCTACTAGGACAGAAAAAAATAAAGGCTGTGCCACTTAGAGAGGAACAGCCTGAGCAACTTTATGCTGCAGTCCTGTCACGTGCTTAGAGGCTGTAACGCCTCCTGCTCTGCACCCACAAGACCACTCCCTGCTCAGCCTCCAAGTGTCAGAGGAGAAAACAAAGTGGTTTTCTGCTCCTAGAAAACAACTGCCTAGAGTCTCCCAGCTTCCATACAGAAGCTGCCACAACTATGCTCCAGGGGGCCAGAGCCCAACCTGAGTTGGGCAGACCTGGCAGTATCATTCATGTGGTACTGGTGTGTGTGGCAGAGTTTAAGCGTGGCAAGGCTATTTATTACACAGTACAACTGTTAGTGAAGCCTGGGTTGCATTTGAGACCCCAAGATGGTGGAAATGCCAAAGCCATGGACATCAGACAAAAAGCTGCATACAGGAAGTGGAGCAGGCCAGAGAGCTGTTGCAGACGGCCAAGCTGGAGCTATTGAAACCTTTGAAACTGAAGTTTTCATCATGGACAGGGAGCTGAAGGGTTTGGTGTCTGTACTGTAGGTTTTGGTCTTGCTTTGGTACAATCTTTCCTGGCTATGCCCCCATTCCTCTCTTTTGGAATGGGAATGTGCATTCTTTGACGTATGTTGGAAGTATATAATCTTTTTTGATTTTGAAGGGTCAGTTAAGAATTTGCCTTGAGGCTAAAGAGATGACTCAGTGGTTAAGACCACTGGCTGCTCTCCCAGAGGACCAGGGTTTGATTCCCAGCACCTACAAGGCAGCTTACAACTATAACTCCAATTCTCCAGGGGATCTGATGCTCTCTTCTGGTCTCTGCAGGCATCAGGCACGCACACATGAGCGCACGCGCAGAGACAGACAGATGCAAAGAGATTATAGCCCAGGACCAACAAGATGGTTTGGTAGGTAAAGGTGTTTATCCTTAAGCCTAATAAACTGAGTTTCATAACGGAACCCACATGGTGGAAGCAAAGGATGGACTCCCAGTGGGCCCTTGACCACCACACATGGATCATGAAATGCACATACCGAAACTAAATATAGTAAAAGCAATTTTAAAAGACATTACAGCTCAAAGTTAGGAATAACGAACATTTATTGAGAAATGGAAAGTAACAAGCCCCTCCATCCTGCAATGTCTTTCTCTCCTGAACAAGACACAAACAAGTAATGCAAGGGAGTGGGGACATGAGGGTTGGCCCGCCTTCTTTTCCAATTCCCAAGATGACATCCTGAAAATGCAGGGGAGGCCACACACTCCCCGAAAAGTACCACATAGCCAGGAGGCTGAGGCTGACTCTGTTCAACTGTGCTGCCCAGAGCACGCCTGGTTCAACAAGTGCAGGGAACCAAGAGAGGCCTAGGCCATCCCTACTCGACACAAAGCAGAAAGTGTGCCAACTGTTCCCAGTGGCAGAGAAGTCAGGCCCTAGTGTCTTGGTGTTCTCTTGGGCCAGGAAGGGAGGGTGAAGCATGAGGAATGTCTTCTGGCTGCTGAGAAGAATTGTTTGTCCCCATTTAGAGGGGTTTAAGGGAAGCAGACTTCTTTAAACAGTAGAGTGGAGCACCCCAGATGCCATTCTTGGATTCCTTGGCTGGGCAACCTCAGAGCTGGACTGATTTTGGCTCAAACTAGACCTTTCTAGCTGGGCAGATCTAACTCCAAGAGAACAGGAATTAATTGAAATTCTCTTTACTGGGCTAGCCTTGAGAGGATCATGGTGTCTCAGCTTCCTTTACTTCCTTGGTTTGTGCCTTTATAGCACACACTACTGATATGTGTGCCCTTAGAATCCTGCTCCAGCTATGACAGCTTAGACTCTCCTGTTCCCATCGTCAGAGGACTACTGGCCAGCTCTGGAATGGTGCTGCCCAACACTCAGCACCTGCCTAAGTGCCATAATTCTGCACTAGCAGCCTAGGAGCATGCTGTAGAAAATCGCCCACCAGCTTGCCTGGTAGGCCAGCTCTACTCTGAGACTACGCATGGCAGTGAGGGTCACTCACACCAACAGAGACAATGCCATGGTGGCAGCTGCACTGTGGGCAATCCTGACTGCTGTTCTGTAGGTATCAAAGCCAGGACGGCAGAGCCAGAGCCAGCCAACAGCTCCCATTCAATCCATCTCTCCCAAGCCCACTGGGCTGCAGCCTGGCTGGGGGTACAGCCTGGAAAAAGGCCCAGCTAACTTGGAGCTGGCGCCTGCACCAAAACCAGGCTGTGGTGTTGCCCTGTCAGGTGAGAGCCAAAAGGGCTAATGGCACAGGTCCCTTCCTGTGCTCCTATCTGGAAGCAGAGAGAACTGGGCCAGGGCCTTTGGCACAACTCTAACAAGGGAACACGAACTCTGGGAAATCCTTTTGGGCTGCCCAAGACAGCACGGGCAGCCAGGAGCTGGCAACACAGCTACCCTACCTCTACCTGCCCCTGTCACAGAGCTCTGCACATGAGCAGTCAGGTGGAAGACAAGAGGCCAGTGACCTAATGCAGCTCCCCAGCTGACCTAGTGCCCTCCAAATGGCGGGAGGTCCCATTCATTCCATTTTATTTGTAAAACTTCAACAGAACAAGAAAACTCCTGAAAACACAACAAAAAAAGCGGTCTCTCCAACAGCCCCCCAGCCCTGTGTCCCACGGGGTCACAAGAAAGCTACCCAGGGAAAGAGCGCACCATTCCTAGGGAAGAAATCAGCATGGGGCCGAGGGTCGGGAGGCACACAGACAAACACAGCCTACCTTGGTGATGAGTGGAGGAGAGAGGAAGCATACTATAGAAATGTAATGCACAGAAGGGCAAGGTGTGGAACAATACAGAAAGGTGGGTCCCGTCCAGTGAGGAAGCTCTCCCTGGTGCCTTGTCCCTTCTCAGGGGGCTTCAGTCCGACGGCCCATTGGTCACAAGCTTTGCCTTGGGAAAGAGAGCCACCCTCCTCTGCCCTGTTTCGGGCTGCCTCGCTCCCCGCCTCAAAGTTTGATTTTGAATTCTGTGGGCTGTGTGGTCACAGAGGCCCCCGAGGACTTGAAGAGAGCTTTGAGAATGGTGTCAGGGTCCACTTCGGCAGGAGGGTTGGAAGAGGAGGAGGCAGGAGTCCCCCGCCGAGGAAGCTCACTCTCCTTCTTCACTGAGGGGCTGTCACTTAGGCGCCTGGGAGAGCAGAGAACCAAACCTTGTTAGTTTCTCCTTAGGTGGGGCCGGGTCTCAGCACTGAGCATCTGTTGGGAGGTAGGCACGGGGTGTAATGTTCTCCACACCCCTCGATCTGACTTCATCTTATAGGAGACCTCTATTTTTCTTATTTACTACTAAACAACAACAACAACAAAACCTAACTGCAGCCTGCTGAGTGCTCCAGTTCCAAGTCTAGAAATACTGCATGTTCTTCTTTCTGGATAGTCGCACACGGTCACATATTACACAAATCTTATAAAGCCTAACCTAAACCAACCACACTAACTCTGGTTAGCCCAATGACTAATTTGTCAGGTCATAAAAACCTTCAATATTTTTTTTATTATTTTAAATTATGTTTAGATGTGTGTCTGTGCATGTGAGTGCAGGTGCTCACAGATGGTTCAGACATGCCCAACATGGGGAACCAACCCTGGGTCCTCTGCAAGGTCCTCTTATTACTGAGCTGTCTCTCCAGCCCCTTCTCAAACATTTCTAAAGCAAACTTACTCCTGAGACAGTTTTACACACTTGTCTAATCACTGTCTATTACCCAGGTTCAAATCCTGCCTTAGTGTGTCCAAGTCTATTGTAGGTCTGCCTGGCAGGATTCCACCTACCATGGCAAGTCTAACCTTCTCCTTGGGTATACTGCCCCTTTCAAGAAAATTCTACCCTGCCAGCCTCAACACTATGCATCCCAGGCTCCAAAAAGTCCTCAACAGTAACCAGGCACATGTGCCCAGAGTACTGCAGCACCAGCTCAGCAGTCAGTCACTGTCCACCTGGAAGATGTCAGTCACACAAAGGGGAGGGGACTGGTCATATTAGTCCACTGTATGAAAACCTTGGGGACAGTCTGAGACAAACCACTTGGTTCTAAATGAAGCACCCTGACTGACCGCTGAACATCACAACAGGAAATGGAATGGAGCACAAAGGAAGCCGTGATGAGGCAGGCGCTTTACCCCTCGAACAGAAGAAAGAGGTGACTATACAGACTAAAGGAGCAGAAAGCCTTTCCCGGCCTGTTCCCCTTGGCACTTACAGCAGGATGGGTTGGTCTGAGGTGATGACATTCCCATTCATGTGAAGGTTGCACTTCATGGGTTGCCCTGGAAAGCAAAAAAGGCAAAGGCTCCATCAAGAGACCTGTTCCTAAGAGGACAAAGGTCACCAACACCATGACCAAGGGTCAAATCCTATCACTGAGGCCAGACATGGTGAACAGCTCTGAAATCTAAGTATTGAGAGACTCAGACAGGAGGATTTCAAGTTTAGAGCCAGCCTGAAGTACCCTGTGGGGAACAAACAGAAGCTATCTAGCATGGAGGTCTGGGGCAGCTAACTGGCCATTTTCTGAATGGGCATCCTATAGGGCTGTGAAGTTTGACCACCTTAGACCACACTGACTCTTTCACCCACTAGACCCCTAAACTCTATCCTCAGAAAGTGATGTGAGACATGTTTCCCCATCTCCATGCTTACTCTTGCTAACAAACTCTTCATCTTTTTGTCAAACGTATGATCCCTGAGTATGGTATACTGCGTGATGAGAACAGGCCTGGTTCAGTGAGTCCTTGCCTAAGCCAAACCAATGCTGGTGCTGCCTCTGAAAACCCAAATGAACCTCTTTTCTGTATAAAGAACATAGCTTCAAGTATTGCATCCCAACAACAGACAGCACACTAACACACGCAGACACTAGGAAACCTGAGAGCGTAAGGGAGCCTCGGTAATGAGACAAAAGGCCAGGACTCTGCTTCCCACTGAAGTCAGTCGGTAGCTGGAGGATGGGAAGGAACTACGCAGTGAGGAGCCACCCCAACAAGTCCGTGAGGCACACAGAAAGGAAACCGTTTATGCTATGATTCCGCATAGAGAAGACTTAAGGACTGTGTGAGGCCTTCCCCGTCCACCAAGGACCAAGTGCTGTGAGGCTGCACTCCCACTGCGGGAGTCGTGATGTGCAAAGGGAACAGAGCTGTGTTCCAGCACTTCAGCACCCAGGTCAGGTCACTACTAACGTGAAACAGGTCCTGATAAATTACAATGTGTACCGCAAACCTTTGAGCAACCATAAAAAAGATTCAAAATACACACTGAACTCACTCAAGGAGCCAAAAATCTGATTAGTAGCACATTTGGGTGGATCACAGCTCCACTTCAAGGAAAGCAAAGGTGAAACTGGACTAAATCCATACTGCTGACCTCAGGCACAGCCCACTCTGCCATGCTCTGCACTACATTGCCTCAAGGGGTTATCCCGCCTCCTTTCTCCAAACTGAAGGTTCCTAGCACCCACAATGAATGAGGTTATCAGGGCCACTTTTGCAGGAGCAGTGCGTACTCTAAGTCTCTGTCACGTTTTTTGTTTTGTTGTTTTGTTTTTTCGAGACAGGGTTTCTCTGTGTGGCTTTGGAGACTGTCCTGGAACTTGCTATGTAGATCAGACTGGCCTCGAACTCACAGAGTTTAGCCTCCGTCATGTTTTGGTGATTCTGCACTGCCTGGAGCTGTCTCTGTGTTATCACATCTGTTGTGTGATACAGTCTGATGCATCCGAAGTGTGTGCTCTGGCTGCCCCACTGACTAGTCATTCCTGTCTCTGGCCTGCCTATTCCTTGAAACATAACACTGAAATCAGATCACCGAGTAACCCTACAACCGAGTCTGTTTTGTCTGAGCAAGGTCTAATTGTGTAGATTAGGCTGTCCTGTAACTATACAGCCCAGACTAGTCTCAACTATGATGATTTAGAAATGGTCACATGAAGGGAAGAGCTGCATGTCTAGTCACTGCTAGTTAAAGGCACCGGACCAGAGCTGTAGCTCACAAGGAGAGTGTTTGCCTAGCATGTATGAGGCTTTGTGGTTTTTTTAAAGATTATATATATATATATATACATACACACATATATGTATATATACACACATATATACATATATATGTATATGTATATATATATGCCTGCAAGCCAGAAGAGGGCACCAGATCTCATTATAGATGGTTGTGAGCCACCATGTGGTTGCTGGGAATTGAACTCAGGTCCTCTGGAAGAGCAGCCAGTGCTTTTAACCTCTGAGCCATCTCTCCAGCCCTGAGGCCTTTGGTTTGATCCCTAGCATTTTGGGGGGGGGGGTATGTATCACAAAATGAAATAAAATGAAGCTGCACCTAAGGGTGCATGCTTGTAATCCCAGCCCTTGGGAGGCAGAGGCAGGAGTACTGCTTTGAGTTTGAGGCCAGAATGAGCTACAGTGTGAGACTCTGTTGTTTGCAAACAAATACTACCACCCCCAAGATGAAGGAATAGCTGGGCAGTGGTGGTGCACGCCTTTAATCCCAGCACTTAGGAGGCAGGGTCAGGCGGATCTTTGTGAGTTCGAGACCAACATGGTCTACAAAGTGAGATCCAGGACAAGCAGGACTGTTACATAGAGAAACCCTGTCTCAAAAAACAAACAAACAAACAAAAGAAACAAACAAACAAAAAAGGAATAGAGTGGTGGGGGGTAGACAGACACAACACCCTACAGAATGAGAGAAATTAACTGTACACCATTTATCTATTCAAAGACCTGACCGAAAAATCAGATGAAGAACTCTTGTGCATGGTGTAAGGTTGGGCATGTGTGCATGTGGAGGTCAGAGGTCAACATCAGTGTCTTCCTCTATCACGCTTCACCTTATTATTCACATTTATTTATCGTTTGAGACAGCGTCTCTCACTGACCGGCTAGCAAAGCTAAGGATCCAGCTGTCCCTGCACCAACAGCGGTGGTCTTGCAGAAGCACGTGACCTTCTCTCTGGGTGCAGGGACCCTCACACCGTCCTTATGCTCACACTTAATCCACTGGGCTGTTTCCTTAGCCTTGTGACTCTAGGAAGAACCTTTACAACTCAGGAGCCAGAAAAAGAGAATCCAGCCAGCACACCTTTAATCCCAGCACTCGGGAGGCAGAGGCAGGCGGATCTCTGGGAGTGCCAGGCCAGCCTGGTCTACAGAGTGAGTTCCAGGACAGTCAAGGCTACACAGAGAAACCCTGTCTCAAAAACCAAAAAAGAATCCAACTCTAGACCTGGCAAAGACTGAGCAGACATTTCTCTAGAAGATACACACACGTCAGATAAGCACACACAAACCAGAGCACCAATGCTGTCTATTACTGTCTGCCTCTCTGATTCTAGTCCAGGCCCTGGTCCTCGGCAGGTTCTCACCACATACACCGTGAGCACGGAAAGGCACAGAGCTCCTCTCAACTATTTAGCCTGAGACCCAGAAAGAAAGCAGTCTCCTCACTGGTAGCTCGCACCCAGCAGACAATGTACAGCCAATGGTGGCAGCTCCTCTCTAACTTACCATCCAGACATCGGTTGTTGTACTTCTTATAAGCAGTGATGGC